AATGACTCTAATGGGATAATCGATTGCTTTCTAATTGGATTTTTAGGCTCATTCCATGGGAGAAATTCATACCTGGTTCTATTAACCTGGCTAAAACCCATACTGGGGAGGTCATAGGCCCCAGACAGGAACCTATCACTGTTACTGGCTAAATGGACATGATGTCAAATTGTCCTCTAAATATCTGTTTATACCCATGATAAGGGTTGTTTACAGCTTTGGTCAGAGAAGCTTCTGTTTGTAGTGGGTGATAGTTAATGCCGAGACTCATAATGGTCAGTGTTCTGAAACAAGGGACTATTGAGTGCTCATCCCTAAATGGGAGAATTATATGTTGTGTGATGCTTTTACTGGGGAGACATAAATAAATGTTCACTCACTCCAGATAGAGAACAGACAACAGACCAAAGTAAGGATTCTACCAAAGTCTAATCTAGTGAACCAATGAGTTTTTGGGGGCCTTACTTACAAGAATATAGGTGAAGGGTTACTTACAAGAATGGAAATGACTCAAAGACAACCACATAACAAAAAGCCCACCCCAGCACAGGTGACACAAGAGCTGGAAACCTGGAGCTCCCTGCCCAACTTGCAGATACTCAACAGGCTGGAGAGTGTCTCTTTCCAGTGGCTCAGTTGGTCTCTGCCTCTTCCAGGTAGCACAGCTGATCTCTGTCTCTTCTAGGCAGCTTGGCTGTCAGCAGTCCTTATGGCTTATGTATGCATAGGGAAGGGAGGGACCTAATGAATAAGGTCAGTTTCAGGGACTTCCTGAACTTACTGATTTGTTTACTTCCCAAGCTTAATGAAAGTCCCTGTAGGATGGGATGTTTCATCTCCATTTATAACATTCTGTGCCTTAATGAGCTTCCTCCCAAGGTGTAAGGTTTTATCTTGGAGGAAATTGCTACACAATACTCTATCATCCCCTCCATAGCTCTGAGAACATCACAGAAGAGAGGGCAGAAAGAATTTAAGAGCTGGAGGATGGGGAGGAGTACTATAAAAGGTGGCCTTCTGGACATGACATGGGAGTTGTATCCTTGAACTCAACAGTGATTACCTGCACAAGACCTTCACAAGACTGGGCCCATCAATATCACATCATGAGCTGGGGAGAGACTCTTAAGCCCTGCCCTTCCCTGGGGTGCTACAGGCAGTTCATAGTGGCTTGGGAGGGTGAGTCGGATTTCTCAGTGGTGTAGCTACTGGTACTTTACCCTCACTCCAGTAAATAACTGCCCACCCATACTCATGCAGGCAACCCTAATTAAGTGCAGTGAGTCACACACAAAGATGAGGTCTGAAAGGAGAAGGACTTGGGAAGAAGGGATTCAGTGGGAAGGGGAAGGGGATAAGAGAGGCAATGAGAGAACTTTGATCAAAGAACATTATATGAAGGTAGGAAATTGTGAAGGAATAAATAAATTTTAAAAATTAAAAGAAGAAAATAGATTAGGTAGAAACTATGGGTTTTCAGTTTTATTTAGGAAGCACTTACAGAAGGAAATATGATTAAATCTATTCCAAGAGACTTTGGTACTCAAATACGCTACACTTATTTATATGGCCCCTTTTCCTGTTTGGAGCTATGAGATTAGCATACCTTCTTTAACTTGCTGCTGGCACTGGGAACTCTGTAGGAATGCTCCACAGCTTCATCGATCCATTGGGGAAGCATTTACCCAGCACCTGTGAGTCAGGGCTCTGGATGCTAAGGGTGCTCCCTGAAGCCTCACTTACATAACAGAGGAATGGGGAGTCAAGGGTACAAAAGCCTCAGTTCCAGTTCGTAGAGCTGGAAAAGGAATTAAAGAGCCACCAAACCAAAGAGATAAAAATATCGTTAGATTAAAAACAAACTCCTGACAGTATAAAATACCGCCCCATTCCATAAATGCATACTAACAAAAATCCATAGGTTATAATTGGTATTTTAGGTGTGAGATTAAAAACAAAACCTAAAGAGTTGAAAAGCAATAGAGAAAATTAATTTAAGGGAATTTAAAATCATTTTCTTTAAGTTTCCCTTAAATTTCAATGTTTATTTCTTTTTTTTTTTTTAGTAAGTGGCAAAGTTAGACCTAAATATATATTTTATCAGTTCCTAATGTACCACCTTATAATTTATTTAACTTCAGTTTCACGTGAATGAAGCAAGACCAGGATATTCACAGAGCACAGTTTCAGGGATTAAATAACATGCCAAATTCAATTTATGTAGCTCTTCACTTGTTTCATTAAAATGATATAGAAATTTGTTTCTCTCCTTCCTTCCTGTCCTTTTCCAGTAGACAACCTCCTCTGTCCACATGTAAATTTAACAGACTTTTAATATTTTCAACTAATAGAAAATTGAAAAAAGCTTAGCGCTCTAGTGACTGTAATTATTTTTCACAGTTCCAACTTACAGAGGAAAAATGTAATAAAATCTCATTTAAAATATTTTAAATTATTTTAAGAACATAAGAATATCTCGTGAAAACTAAGAAGACGGCCAAAACTTTTATTGATCTATTGGAAGTTACAAAATTATTGCACAACTTTTTAGGACTTAAAAAAAAAAAAACGCACAATCCAAAGAAAGACAGTATATTTCATACTTGTTTTTTGATGTCTATTAATAAGTTTCAGAAAGCAAAATGTGAGGTTAGGCCTTTGACAGTTTCTATAGTACAAGTATCTTGTGTGTCTGTAAGGATTGATCCATACAGCTAAGCCCAGCAAATGAGCTGGGCATTCTCCAGAGAGTTACTGCACAAGATGGCTTAGCAGATCAGCAAAGAGATAAAGAACCTTTAGCCTTTTGATCACAGGGTCACTTATGGAAGCCTGGACAGGGGCAAGCAAAGTCATTACTGGTCAACATCTCAGGAGAGGTGGAATTACCTCTCACTGTCATTCAGTCTTATTGCTCTTTCTTAACTACTTTGTCTTACCACTAACATTCACTAGTGGTGAACCTTCACCACTAACATTCACTTACTGTGGCTAGGCTTGAGGTGATGTTTTAATTCATAGATGCAAACAAAATAAATAAATGAAACCAGTGTCATCATTCTGTTTTTTAATTTTTTTATGTTCAAAACTGTCTATCTGTTTCGACTTATCTAACATGTGGGCGTTAAGTCACACCTTAGCCAGAAATGTTTAGGTGAATTTTTCTGAACTACTTCTGCTCCCCTACTTGTTCTGTTTATTATAAGCAAAGACGCCACCAAGTCTTTCTTCTTAGCTCTGAGCACCACATCCATACAATAAATGTTTGCAGCTCTGGGGCTGCTGAGGTCTCTGCTGGATGTTTTCACCCTTACGAATGCCAAGTGTGTGGACTGTTCTGTGTCACGGTCAGAGTGTCTCAGTTTAAATAACACTGCATCTTATCCTCTCTGGCAGGTCAGCAACGTGCTTATATAGAAGAATGGAGAAAATTTGAATAGAAAATGTTTTAAATCCTGGTTTCAAATCCTTGTATCTTGTGTTCATAATCAGGAAAAAGAATGTCTGTCTTTAACATTGTATAAAAAGAAAACAACAGATTTCCAGTTCCTCAATTGCTTCTTTTTTTTTTTTCTTCTTCTTTTTTTTTTGAGACTAGGTCTCCCTATAGCCCCTAGGCCTGAAATTCTCTATATAGACCAGGTTGGCCTCAGTCTCACAGACATCTGCCTGCCTCTGCCTCCAGAGTTCTGGGACTAAAGGTGTGTACCACCATGCCCATTACACTTCCCCAATTCTTAAAAAAAATCCATGATATAGTGAGAACCTAGTGTCTGGCAAGGAGTTGGCAAGTCAATTACACCTTCAAACACATATAACAGACTATACATAAAAAGTTAACCAGATTATTCTGGATTTCCTTTTCAATTTCAGCACCTAGGAGAAAACACCTTGTATAGAAAGGGAGCTAAAGAAATTGTTGAATGAATGAATGAATGAATGAATGCATGAACATAGAGTTGTAATCACATATATTTGTCCAAAGTGTCTGTTAGGGAATGCTGCAGAAAAGAGAGATTGAGACCTAATCAGAGATTTGCTGGAAAAATAAATCATAACTCCAAAAAAGCATCTCTAACCTAAAAGAGCAATCCCAGAAAACTCTTCGATCAACTTAATTTTCTGTTATTTACAAGTCACACACTTTTGCCTTACAGCAATAGCATAATATCACATATATCCCATTTTAATGTGTTTTCATAGGACTCCATCTATTTCTCAAGGGCAAAAGTCCTAACTACACCCAACCACTATAAGATCAAAATTGAAAAGCAGAGAAAGTAAAAATCTGATTATTCATTCTGTTATTAGTATCACTGTTAGAAAATCTAAGAGCAAAATTTTTAAAGTGAGTTTCTTTCATACCTTTATAATTTAGTTTCTGTCACTAGTTGTTATTATAGTTATTGAAATTAACTTTAAATAATTGATTCAGCTGAAGTATATATATAATATACATCTATCCTGTGGGATACGAAAAGATACAACAGTGCAAACAAGTTCGTAACACAGACGTGCCTCGAACAGTGTGGCTCCCGGTACTCGGCACGGTAGAAATGAAGCATGAAATTTTTTTTCTTGATTTCCTTCTGTAGTAGAGCCCAATGTTAAGTTTTCATTCCACCTTAATTCCACACCCTCAATTGTCAATGGAAAGTTTCTTTTCAAAAGCAGTGAATCATGAACATACCTAGGAAAAAGAAAGTCCCTTGTGGTTTCTAGTGGCTTTTCCTGATAACTGCCTGTGTTCTCTCTCCCCTTTCCCCTTAGCTTCACCACATCCATAGATTCATCCTATGAAGGGTCACAGATCACAGAAAAACTACAGAACAGGAACCCTAACTTCCTGAGCACACCGCAAAACACAGAAACCTGTTTCCTCTGCACATATCAAACTGGCAAAACTATCAGCACGCTCAGTGTAGAAGTGGTTATCGAGAGGGCTGGAAGGGCTCATCTCCCCGATTTCACATGAACTTTTTTTGCCTAACTCTACTGACATGCCGGGAGTGAAGTTACTGGTCCTGTTTTCTAGTCTATGGGGCAGCGGCATCGGGCTTAACAATACACAGCATTCTTGGACTGTACCCGAGGATGAAAACTCCACTTCAGGTCCTCGAAGTAAAGTACCAAGTCTCCCAGGGCTGGGGGCCACTAAGACTTCAGCAGAAGCACTTGAAGCTCCTGGAACGAGACCTTCTGGAGACAGTCTTCGACAATCAACGCTGCAGCCCTCAGAGACCAGTGCCTCTCTTGAGGGGCTGAGCAGCCAAACACTCACACCCCCAGGAAAGACAGGAGGACCGGTAGCTCCACAGTCTCCTGCCTTCCCAAGCAAATCCAGCATCAAGCCCAGTCCTGGAGCAGGGACCGCAGTGCTTTCTGATGCCACACTGAAATTCCTTCAGAGTTTTGCAGGAAAGCCTGATCCACAGGCAATGCATCTCAAGTCAGCTGGAGACACTGCCAATCGGTCTCCCAGGGGAACATCCCTCAGCAGAGGTGACAGGAGTGGACGTCAAAGACCAGGCTACCAAAAACCAAGTTTCGAAACAACTAGAGGAAAGTAAGAAACATTCCTTTCTTTTCTTTCTGTCTCCAAATATAATGCTTGTAATCAGGTAACGGTGTAAACTACCTCGCACTGAGAAAATTGTTTAAAGTTCAAAATATCATCATATTGTAGTAGAGATTTGAACATTACAGCTACCACCTTACTAATAGGGGAGGGATGCAGCAATTTTAACAGAACAGCTAAAATCTCTTCACATGTACAATTGCTGTTCCTCTCCATTAGAAAAAAGCAGCACCATATTGATGGTAGTTTCTTTAATTCAACTTAGAACACCACCCACCATGGGAAAGTTGGACTAGGAATGCTATAGAAAGGGTAGAGATTGGATCATACCATCTGAGTTACTGAGCTTAACAACTCCATGTGCATGACTCAGGCCTCGCCCTGGGCGTTCTAGATCCATGATGCTGAGCTAGTCTCCTGATCGTTCCAAGTTTCTTTGTAGGTAAATGAGATATATACAAGGAATACAGATCCAAGTGCTACTTTGCAGCACTTTCATGAAGATTTGAGTTGGGGCAATGCAATGAGATGTATGCTGCTCACAGACTAGGGGTTCAGTAAATCATACTGCAGTGTCATTGTAGTTAGCTTGTCATCAGATGTGATGAAGCAGAAAGTCACCTCAAAGTCACAGCAATTGGAATTGTAGAAGTAACATAATAACATTAAGTTTAAAGGAGCATTGTGAGGGAAGTCTTCCCTTTGGGCCCCAAACAAAACACAAAGGAAAAGAATACCAGAATCCATTAATACTTCATTCACATGCTATTCAGAGGCGCCTGTATACTTACAAGTATAAACTAAACTTATAAATAGTTTTAGCTACTTTAAGCGTCTTTCAAACATGACCTTGTAGCTAAATTGAGTTAAACATTATACCAATAATACAATAAAATTCAACTTAAAAACAGTAGTTGACATCATAGCAGGTGAAAGATGTTTTGGCCAAGCTACAGAAAATATAAACACGAGAAGCAAGACATTGGGGGATGAAAGTCAGCAAACGTGTCTAAGTTCATATAAGTTAAGTCTATTTGTAGAATTTCAAGTTTATAGAACTTAAAAACACACAGGCAGGCAAGTGTGATTTTAATTAAAATTGTATTCACTTGGGATCTAGAACAAGCCAAGTTAACTGTAAAACAAGGGCTATAATTTGTAAGATGCTTAACTTGAGATGAGTGGATTTTATCCACACAGTTAACAGACATTCTACTTTATAAGGGGTTGCCTGTTAAACAATATTGACAAATACAAACATTGTGGAAAATCTTTTATGAACTGCTTACATGTATCATTTCTATGATGAAATATGGTAATATTTCATCAGTGTCTGTTCAGTTTTCTTTAATTGCAATAAAATACTTGAACATTTGTAGGAAATGATTGTGAGCTTTTCAGATGTTCATGGTTAGGACTTCAAATAGGAAAACAGTAAAGTTAATGAAAAGATAAATTAAAATACCTCTTATATTTTATTTAGCATATAGAAAGTATATACTATATATAATTAAAACTAATGCTTAACTTTTTTTTAACTCCACAGCAATATTTATTGTTCTGGCCTGAAAAATCCCTTTTAATTTTTACACACACAGCAAAGCAAGAATATTTAACATTGTCATAAATAAATGTCATAATTGGCATTAGTCTGAAAATATGCTGGTTGCTCTATCAACACTTGGGAAAGCTTCTTTTTGGGTGATTGTTTCGAGTTGCCTATCACTTGTCTGGTGTCCTGTCAACTCTAGAGACACATAGAACTTGAAAGTCTTACCTCTAAGGAATACTTACTGTCAAAATAAATACCAATATATCAACTGAATTTTCAAAAATTCAATGTTTTGAGGAAACCATATATGGTACATAACTAGCTGAAGAGCACTTGATCTGGGGACTTCCCAACAAAGTATCTTCAATTCTTTCTAGAGCAAAGTCAACTGCTTTAGAGAGTCTATGGCTCCAAGTCCTGGAGAGCCTGCAGTAGTAGTTGTTGTTGTTGTTATTATTATTTTGGCATTTTTGAGACAGGATCTCCTTGTAGCCCCCACTGGTCTGGAATTCACTATGTAGAACAGGCTGGCCTTTAACTCATAGAGATCCACCTGCCCCTGCCTCCTGAGTGCTGGGATTAAAGGTGCACACCACCACACCCAGCCAAGATTCTGCAATTCGAGGTCCTGGAGAGCTGCACTTATTTTTTTAGCCATCTTCTCTCTTGTCTAAGATTCCCTATTCATTAAGTTATGCAAATAACTGTGATGTGAGAGAAGGGCCCCACCCTCTCTCATTATACAAAGACTCAAAGACAATTTGGATTGAAAGAAATCTTTCATTTTTAATGGATTAGCGATGATAATTGCAAATTCTCTGTGCATGCGTACGTGTGTGTGTGTGTGTGTCTCATTTAATTCCATAACAAAAGAAGATTTTGTCATTGCTTCTTTATGGAATGCCTAAATAGTTTACCTAAAGTCATCAGTCCCAGGGCAAAAACGACAAGCCCATCACCTGGCTTTATGCTCAGTGCTCAGTTTGTTTAGAGCACTCCTTGGTGGGGGTGAGGTGATCATTTCAAGTGGGGAGACGGAGTGAACATGTCTCTGTGAGACATCAGGAACTATCCACTGCTTCCACAATGTGTTTCATCCTGCCTACAGCCCAGCCTCGTCTTCTGCCACTTCCTGCCTGGCCAAATTTGTAGTTCTTTGGTCCACAAGATGCTTAACTCCCCTTCCTGTTTCTCTCTCCAGATAGCAAGCTCTTTCCCATTTCCAACTTCCTTCTACACCTAAAGGCAGGCTTCTCAGGCTAAATTGCCAGCCCTTCCAAAGGCCCCTACTGCCCTGAATCTTCTGTCACTGTAGTTAGGACAGAGCAGGTGCTCACAATGAACTTGCGAGTTCTTTGAGTATAGGACCCCGTTTTCAGTGTTAGTCAAATCTCTAGCTTATATTAGGTACACAAACATCTATGTAATCAAACTGCTCTGGCCTGCATGCTCTGGGGTATGGAGGAAGCTGGAGACAAGGATGTGGAACATGGGGGTCCATGCATGAATGTAAAGAAGTCACCCCCAAAACATTTCTCAGTGAAAATAAACTGGTTGATTTGGGTATACTTGGCATACTTCTTCCCACCTATAGTGTTTAGAATCTTATAATAACTCTTCATAAAAGGAATTTTTGTGTCTACGATAGGTCTTTTTCTCCAAGATTATTCTGAAATATTTTTGGCATCTTGTGTCCTATTTCCTTCTTTTTAGCACTGTAGGAGGTCTCAGCTACAGCAGAGCTGTGGTTTCCTGTCTGACAGAGTGGGTGTTCATAAATGACCAAGTACATCCCAGTAGGCAGACAACAAAGAAGAAATTAGAATTGTGAATTTATATATTGGACAAACATTTGCTGAACACCCAATATGTCGCCAACCAACACTGAGGCTGTAGCAGAAATTAAATAATGAACAAAAATTTCTACCTGCTCTGTCCTCATAAGACCCACAACTCAGGGTGATGGCTGTAAATGAAAGATGAATGGGTCAGGACTGCCCCTGTTCAATGCAGCAAACATTTGAATGAAGCTGCTGAGAGAGTGGATCAGGATGAATGGCCCTCCCTTTCTGAATGGGGTCAGTAAGCCTTGACTGAGGGGGTAAGAGGTGACATGAGTCCAGCTGCTTACGTTCTCTGATAGCCCCAAGGCTCTTCACTGATGCTGTCTTTATGAAGTGGGCTACTTCCACAACTGGAAACCTTAGATATGTTCTTTACATAGTTCTCTCCCTAATAGTTTTTGTCTGATCCATTAGTGAGTCTTTTCACACCCTAGTATGTCCTGGGTCACCAGCTTCTCTCTGTTTCATTCTCACCCTGCTCTTCCACGTCCCCATAAGCCACAACTAACTCCTAACTCCTGTCCCTGTTCTCCCACTCCCCCTCCTATGCCCCACACAACTGAGAGACCTTTTAGATGCTGAACTCTGATTAATGTGCTTCATTGAACATAATGCTCCCTTTGAGGATGCCTAAAATAATGATTTTAAGTATTAACATGAAAAAAGATTATATCATCCTTTCTTGGACTTTTTTTCTTTATCATGTACACTTTGAAATTTCATTTTGCAAACTTGTAAATTCAAAATAAAACTATAAAAGGAAACTGGTTTAAATCATGCTAAAAGCAGCAGTGATTTCAAAATGCGTTCTGAATTCACAGAGAGGTATGTCTAAGTCTGGGGAATTTGGAGTCTCACCATCACTCTCCAAGCTCACCCCACCTTGCATCCTCCAGGCACACTGGTTTCTGCAGACTGAACATGTTGACATCCTTCTAGGGCCTTCCAGCTTTCTCCTGCCAGAATGTTCTTCCTTCCGCATTTATGAGCGACTCCTTTTCTTCTGTCACCTTTTCAAAGAGCCACTCCAACAACCTGGTCAATCATCTGTGTTCTCCTTCACTACAGCCATCTTACCTTGATCTTATTTTCTTTTAAATCACTTAACTACAATTATTTGGTTTATATTTGCAGAGAGTTGTGTTTTTGATTTTGGGGTTTTTTTGTGCGTTTGTTTTTGTCTTTCATGAAAACTGAAACTTTGCCTGACTTACCAATAATTCTATTCACTGCTTAGAACAGTGACAGGGTACACAAAGAGTTCAGGAAAGCTAAGGAGGGATGGGTTACTGGGTGGTTTGGGAGCTCAGAAGGAGATCAAAGCTCGAGATAGAGGTTGGGAAAGCATTAATGTAAAGAAATATTTTGTCATGAATGTGGATACTGAAAAGAGGACCCTAGAATTATGATTTGAGACAAGTTTTGGGGGGTTTTGTTCTGTTGTGTTTTAAGATAGTTTTATGTAGTCCAGGCTGACCTCTAACTTGCTGTGTAGCCAAGGCTGGTGTGAACCCCTGATCCTCCAGCTCCCACATCCCAAGTGCTGAGATGACAGGCTTGTGTCATCACACTCAGTACAACCAAAGAGATTC